TAAAAAAACAAAATAGGGCTGGGGATGTGGCTCAAACGGTAGCGCGCTTGCCTGGCATGCGTGCGCCCAGGTTCGATCCTCAGCACCACATACCAACAAAGATGTTGTGTCCGCCAAGAACTAAGAAATAAATATTAAAAATTCTCTCTCTCTCTTTCTCTCTCCTCTCTCACTCTCTCTTTAAAACAAAGCACAGAAGCCTACATGTATGCAATTGCCAATATTTTCTTTATTAAATGCAAGAAAGTTTCATAATTTTACCTGAAACTTAAATTTATTTGAGAAATTTCCTATGGAAGAAAATCCTAAACCTTCCTTAAATTTCCAAAAGCAGAAACTGGAAATGTGAGTGTCCAGGGTACACGCTGAGCCCATAGGAAGAAGGATTGGTTAGGAGTGGGAGAGAGGCTGGATGGAGCAAGAGTCTTGGACTTGCCCATGCTAAACAGACAAGGCGGGAGGAATCTGAGAGGGATGGGTACTGGGGGAGAGGCAGTGCGGCAGAGTGGTGAAGAATGTGTTCTAAGGAGTCAATGTGCTTGGCATGGATCCTGACCTTGACCTTCACTGGCTAAAGAATCTTGGGCAAGTCATTCAGTCTCCAGGTCTGGTGGGTATGTTCACTTGGTAAAATTTATGTGGACTCACTTTAAATGAACATTCAGTTTCTTTTAATATTGATAACATTAATGTGCTTCGGCTGTGAGACAAATTCAGTGTTTTCACCTAAGTTAACATGTAAAAAACTGGCCTTAATGATTTTGAGGATAGTGATTTTTTTTTATTTTAGTATTTGATAAAATGTTGATTTTACCAAGCGCTGCCCTAACCATGGTTAGGTGATTTCCTAATTCTAGTGAAAATAATTTAAAATGAAAAAAAATCTTTTTAAACTTCATTTGTAATAGTGGCAAAATTATTTAAAATCTAGGTAAATGTAACAAAAATAATATAGGATATAAATAAAGGTAAGGATGCAGCCATAGTAGCAATTTTACAATACCACTCATTAAATAAACATTCCTCTTTCCCCTGGTTTGAAAAGTTAGTTAATTATATGTAAATGATATCTATCATTACTTCTAATGGAAGTTCTTAGCCAGACAAATGGAGGAATTTCAAAAAAGGTACAGGTGTTTTCTTTCTTTCTTTCTTTTTTAAGGTACAGGTGTGAGAAAGGAAGAAATAAAACTGTCATTATTCATAGACACAAAAAACTCAAAGTAGTTTCAGATAAACTCTTAGAATAAATCAATTCAAGGAGGTTGCTATATGTACAATCAATACAAATATATTTTTATTTCTATTTAGAATAAGCACAACTAGAAGTGAAATTTAAAAAGCTATCAATTATAAAAGTATCAGTAATTTACATAAGTGTACAAAGAATTTAAAGACCATCTAGAACAAGAACAAAGCTGACGGACTTAAACTTTTGGCTATTGTGTCTTATAAAAGAACACAGAATGAAACTGGAGTAAGTATAGATAAACAGATTAGAGTTCAGCGGCTAAAAAGACAGAATCTCTATTCTACAAACACATAAATAGAATGAGAGTCCAGAAAGAAACCCATACATATACAGTGATTTTTCCATACAGTGCAGAAGGAAAAACATTTTCAATAAATGAGTCTGGGTCAGGTGAATATCTATATAGAAAAGTAATATACCTCAATCCTTACCTTATAGAGCATTCAAAATCAATTCCAAATTGATCATAGGAGCACATGCAGAAGATAAAACAATAAATCTTCCAGAGAATATCATAAAGGATTTTATCTTCATGACCCTGGTCATGGCAAGGATTTCATAATTAGGACCCACATAAAAAAAATTACCATTCCTAGAATAAAGACTATAAATCGGACTGTATTTAAACTATCTTTAAGTGAAATGGTGAGCCACAGTGTAGGAGCGCGCACGCGTGTGTGTGTGTGTGTGTGTGTGTGTGTGTGTGTGTGTGTGAGAGAGAGAGAGAGAGAGAATAAAGGATTAGTTCCTAGAATATATTAAGAATTCCCATATGTATCCATAAAGAATCTGCACTTCATGGAGAGACCTATACCATAAATAAGGTGTTATTAGTTGTCAAGGACATGACATTAAAACATAATGAGTTTCTTTTTCTGTTTTGTTTTGTTATATTGGGTCTTGAACTCAGGAGCATGCGACCGCTGAGCCACATCCCCAGCTCTATTTGTATTTTATTTAGAGACAGAGTCTTACTGAGTTGCTTAGTGCCTAGGTGTTGCTGAAGCTAGCTTTGAACTTTCGATCCTCCTGACTCAGCCTCCTGAGCTTCTGGGATTACAGGTGTGTGCCACCGCTCCCTGACCATAATGAGTTTCTTAATGCATACGAAACTCCAGAATGGCCAAAATATTAAACTGAAATGATCAAAGTTTGTAAAAATATGGAATAAGTAGAGCTTTCATACATTGCTGATAGAGAGTGTGAGTTTGAAAACTGTGGTCCAGTTGTCTTAAGGGTAAACACATGCATACCCAGTAACCTAGTAAGTCTCACTATTTCTTGATCTGTGTGATGGTTTTATAAATATGTTCATTTTGAAATATATATATGTGTGTGTGTGTGCATATATACATACACACACACATATATATTTATTTAAATCAGAAATTTACCTTAAAATTGTGTATATCAATACAAAAATATAGAATACTATGTTCTAGCATAGACATAAGTACATGAAGTACTAGACTTACCTTCCAAAGGGCTTAAAACACTTGGGTGTCTAGAAAGGTAGGGTGGCTCCTAACATTTTTAGAATAATTTGTATTCTCCTGAGGACAGACAGGGATCAGTGCCTTCTGGGTGACAACTGCTTTTATCTTTCTAATGTGAAACTTTGGCCTGTGGCCTCCATAAGTAAACTCACCAGTTAATCTTTCTGCTTTGACCAATGGTGACCTGTGTACAGAGGTTCAATGAACGAGTCAGAAGCCAAAATGCTCTATTTGTATCTAGTAAATAAATTATGTCATAAAGATAACTCTAATATTAAATAAAACTAACTTGGCCACCTTGTTTTGTTAAAACCATTTCTACATAATGGAAAGGGTTCTGCAACAAAAGAGAGTTCTAAAGAAAATATAAATATTTTTAATACCAATTTTTTTCCTTGTTCACTTCTTTGAAAGCCATATACTCAATGTTATTAAATTGGATATGAGATTTTTCATCACATAAAATAGATAAAATGTTCAGAGCAATTAAATAGCAATGAGATACAACCAAAATAAGCATGGTTACTATATGTAGTTCCAATGCATTAATAAAGCAATTAAAATTAATTCCCCAAATTGTTCCCTTTTCACTGAATAAAAATTATAATGAAATAGCAAAAGTAACAACAAAAATGAGGGTTTCTGACATTCTATAACATGCTACCTTGGGTTTGAGGAAATTCTCACATATTTCTGGTTGAAGTGTTAATTGCCATAACTTATTTGGAAAGTAATTCTAGAAAGAAATGTTAAAATGTAAAAGGTAAACACCCCTTGACTAAACAAAACAATTTCAGAGAATCAGTAATACAGAAATAAAAAACCACTATATCCAGGAATTATCTATCTATAAATAGGCAAGCATGTACAAAAAAGCAGAAGTGAGCTCTGCAGAGAATGATGGAACAAATCAGGAGCTGGCAAGCCCAACTGTTGTATACCCATAAAGAAGGATGGATTCAGTAATAATAGTATTATGTAGTTTTTATCAAGTAGTCATTGTAGTATGCTAGGCGCCATTTATTTGTATGAACTCATTCAATCCTTGTAAAAACAATATGGTATAGTAATATTATCATTTCTATTTCACGGATGATGAAATTAAGATTCAGGCAGATCAAATACTTGACCCCCTCGCAGAGCTGGTGTGTATGAAGTTTGAATTTGAACCAGGCAGTCTTACTCTAGAAGGCGCACTCTTAACTTCCATGTAGTTCCCTGAATCAATTAAGAAGGGAGTTCTCTTATATATCATTAATGAAGAAGAAAATAATGGAAAGGTGGTCATCCCATTTAAAAAAAAACACAAAAGCCATAGGAAAAAATTGATTATATATCAGAATTGATAAAGGAAGGGGGGAGATGATATTAAGCTTTTTAATGCCTCTTTATTGTTTCAAGTTCTAGAAATCATTGGGATACATTTGTTTTAAGTGAAGAAAAAGTTAACAAAAACCAGCCTCCACTTTTTTTTAAGTTCATTGTGCTTCTTTGAGAATAAAAGGAATGAATGGTTTATTTAATAAGTAGACTGGAAATTGGTAAAACTTGTCCTCTAATTTCTTACTGTGACTTAGGCCCACAGCTCTAACCTGTTGTGGTCATTCTATATAGCATTTACTCATTCATGATACAAACATATTGGTACAAAGTGGATCTTTGTAAACATTCATTTCCTTTCCATCACTTTTGTCTTCTCTTCCTTGTCCTTCCCCCAATCAAATAATCAACACTATGACAAGAGAAGGAATCTTTATTCTCTTGTTTTTCAACCTGCTTAGGCTGAGTTTGGCTGTAGTTACTTTCGGTCATGGCAACTCAGTGCCTCTTTCAGATAGAGTGATCTCCAGATATAATTTACTGGTATTCCCCCCATGAGTGTGGTATGACTTATGCTCAAAATGAGGGAGGGAGATGTGTCAACAGCCAGTCTGTTAGGAAGGAAAGCATTTCAGTAAGAACCAGGGCCAAGAGTCCTATGCTTGGAACTATGAGCAAGACTATATAAACAGTCTATATTTTTGGAAGGACCTGATAATTTGAAGGCTAATCTATAAATCCTAATAGGATATAGAATGACTTTGTGAGATTTCAGCACTATAGAGGTATGAAGCTTTGTGCCTTACTTTAACCAACAAAGGTAGCTAACTTTCATATAAAATTGTTATGTGAAACGTGTATCTGGATATTTTGAGAATTCAGTGAACAGTTTGAAACAGTGTACTTCACAACACTTTTATTTTTTTTTTCAGGTACCATTTGATATCTCGCTGCCTTCTATATTCAATCTTGAGAGACTTTTCGATCTTGCTAATGGCTGTATTATATCAGGAGGAAGCCTTTTCAACTGGATAGTGTCGATTATTTCATGACCTTCCTTTCCAGGGTAACTTTAGAAAGAATCTTATTGGTATTTTTCTTAGTTTGAAATAAAGTTTCTGGAACTGTTCTCTTACAACTATCAAGATTATTTTCTTATATAAGCTAGAGGTTTTTTTTATAAACTATAGTGTTGAGGAATGCTTTACATAGCATTTTAATTAAATGACAATGCCAGTATTTGTTCAAACTATCTTACAGAGATAGCCAAAGAAAATATGTTTGTGCATGACATAACTATTCTAACGTTTGTGGTAGTTTATGTGAGGTTGTCTTTAGACATGTCCATCCAACAAGATCAGATTAAACCAATAATTCTCAACTGAGAGCAGTTTTCTGCATCGAAGACATTTGACAGTATCTGGAGACATTCTGGGTTGTTATAACTGGAGGAAGAATGGTATTGGCCTCTAGTGGGTAGAGGATATGGGTGCTGCTAAACATCCTCCAATAACCAAGAATTATCCATCCCAAGATGTCAGTGGCGCCAGTGTTGAGAAACCATGTATTAACCCCAACAGGTGGTCAATTCAACTCTGGAAGTTTGTCTATTGGGTTTGGAAAGAACTCTGAAGCCAGTTAGACCTTCCATATTTTATACTTCGGAGAGATCACATCTTAGTGCTCTGACTCTGCAATCACATAGACCTGGGTTTGGATAATAAGTAACTTCACCATTTGCTAGCTAGCTTTGCTACTTTAAAGAATTAACTTAAACTCTTAGGCTTTTGTTTTCTCATCTATAGAATGGGGACATTAACGTCCTTCTCATAGGGCTATTGTATGTATCAAAGTAAGTGATTTGGTGCAATGAGATGCTTAGTATAGTGTCTAATGTAGCAATGTCAGAGTACCGCAAGTGCCGTTTCCCTGCCAAAGTAGAGGAGGACTGAGCACTTCTGACTGTCTAGCATCTAACAATGCTAAACATGAATGCTGTCCAGATGCTGGCCCATAAATGATTACTCATGGCTAAGTAAATAAAGTAAGTAAATCTATTTTTCTAAATATAAATATAATATATAATAGTATATTGTTCTTTATTCTCAGATTATGAATTTCTTACTTCCTAATGGTGTTAAAAGGACCTTTATTTTTTTTCTTTTTAAATTTTTTTTGTTTATTTTACTTTATTTATTTGGTACTAGAAATTGAACTCAGTGATGCTTAACCTCTGAGCTATATCCCCAATCCTTAAAAATGCCTTCCTTTTATGAAACATTATTATAATAGTATCTAGTAACTAGTATTTTTAAATGGTCTCAATAATAAAAAGTAAAATAAAAGGATCAATCTTAAGTTGGCCCCTAATTTTTTAAATATAGACATCCACAGAATTTCAATATATGTAAGCAACCAAACTAGAATTGTCCTACAGAACTACATAAGTCTTTTTGGCAAGACATTTAAGGATCAGAAGAATTGGGGTAGTTGAAAAATTGCTATAGAAATTTTCTAGAATTAGGCACTGTAGGAAGGCAGAGGCATACACGTGGAAATGCATTTGGTGCATGTGCAGAGTTCTAGCCTACTACCTAGCCAGTGTATGCAGTTAGCATGGAAAATGAGATGAACTCTAAGGATGGTCTTGAATGGAGACTTGGGGCTGAATCAGTGGTTGATGGGGTGCCATTACAGTTGACTAAGGAGAGGAAAGACAAGTACATGGCATTAAATGTCAAGTACTAGTTGACATTTATAGAAGAATGGCCTCCATGGAGGGTCAACATGGAGAGAGAGAGAGAGAGAGAGAGAGAGAGAGAGAGAGAGAGAGAGAGATCTCTGCTGGGTTAGAGAACACTTTGAAGGTCTGCATTTCCCAATAGATGGAGTTAAATTTTTTATGCAAAATTTGGCTACCAAGGGCAAGAAAGGTGCTGTAGATTACCTATAAATTTAATATATACATGTAGAAATATAACATGACTAAAACCCAAGGCCATTAATTTCAACCTAATGTTAGCATCCCAAGGGTATATATGCTCATCTTCCATTATTCATCACTATTAAGTTTTGACTAGTTGAATGCTTTACATTTTTTGTTATTTTAATTTTATATACTTATTTATTAATTTTTGTGGTCCTGGGAATTTAATCCAGGAACATATTTCCATTGAGCTATATTCCCAAACTGTTTATTTTTATTTTACATTAAGACAAGGTCTCATTAAGTTGCTGAGGGTCTTGCTAAGTTGCTGGACCTGGCCTTAAATGTGGCAATCCTCCTGTCTCAGCTTCCTAAGTCACTGGGTTTACAGGATTCTATCCTGACTGGCACATTTTTCTTTATTGTAACTATTAGGATGCATGTACTATTTTCTAGAGGCCTAGAATAATGCCTGACACTTCATAGAGATCTATGATATAGTATAATACTTGTTCAATGAATGGATGGATGGATGGATGGATGGATGAATGGAAGAAAATGACCTAGGCCATATGGCAACATGGAGTCTAAAAAAAAGGAGGTAAAGGTATGGCAAATAGCTCCACCATCATTACCACTACCACTTTTGCCCACTCTTTCTGGAGCAGTTACCATGCAAAGCACTGTATTAGTAAGTACCTCATATGCATTATCTCCCTGTATTTTCCCAAGAATTGTGACCGTGATGCACAGAGTATTACTGAGGCCATGTTACAGATGGGGGAAACAGAAGCATAAAGCTCAGTGATCATGGTCAGTTAAAGATGGAGCCAGGATTTAAATCTTGACTGGAGAATCTGAGTTCTTCATTGCTAAGCCATTCCATGGCTCTGGAAAACTTGTAAGTCAAGGGAGAGTAAGACATAGCTGAGCCTCAAGTTAAAATTGAAACACCTATTATCCTGCCCTAGAAAGAGACTTTATAAAATGACTTGCAGCCCTGAACGGATGCCTCAAGAAACACGATGGTGTAGAGGGAAGCAATGCTATCTAAGCCAATATACGGTTTTCCTCGGGGAAAGGCAGGTCCCTTCCCACTATTGCAGATAATATAACATTTCAGTGTATTTTTTACTTTTTCACCAGTGTCAGTTATTCATAGATGCTGTTATTATTGGGTGTTGTTTTTGTCTCAGAAAAATACTGCCTAAAACTGCAACAGACCCTGAAGTCACAGTTTTCCCATTTTAACATCATTCTACAAAGTCCCCGTCTCTTCTAAAATAGGAGCAACACTCACTAGTTAAAGCTGGAACTTTCTGTGCAAGGTGCTGTGGAAATGATGAACTGGGCTCAGGTACAAACAAAAGGAAAATTCAAAATCTACCAGATGAAAATGTCTTTCGGGGGGTTTCTTTTTTCTTTAAGACCAAATAAGTTTGCAGCTGCTTTTTAAAAATGCAATATACAGTATCTGCAAGTGCTTTATAGCATGTTCACACCTGCAGTGTTTTCTATTTGTTTTAATTATAGCAGAGAATAACAGAAGACAAACTGAAAAGAGGAGGAAAGAAAGGCAAAAATAAAAAAATAAAAAAATGGAGGAGGGATGCAGAGAAGACTGGGAAGAGTGTGGCTAAGTGATAAGTAATAAAACCCAAGTGCTTCCCACATCTTGCTCCTTATCAATCTCCAAGCAATTGCTTTAGAAATTGACCACCTGCCAGCTATTCAGAGGCTTAAATGCAGTGGTCTCGGTTCACTTCATGCGGGCAGCTTTACACATTCCCCGGCCCAGCTGACTTGTTCTCCTTCACTGAACTGCAGGGGAGAAAAATGGAACATTTTTGGAATAAAATGGTTCACTTTACAAGAAACTTGGTTTCTGCCTCGGTTTGCTTGTCCTTCCTTTCTTCTTCCAGACAATAGCATTGCAAATCCCTCCATGTTACTCTGAGTGACTGGGCAGGAGGATGTCCTCCCCCTGAGTTCCTAGAGTACTTCCGGATGCCCCACTCATTTGACCTCTAACGGTGCCCTTTGGCATGTAGTTTCTTTTTGTTCTAATTTTCATAGCACAGCTTTCTACCCTTAGCTCAAGGGTGTCATAAATATGAGTCTGCCCTACACTCCTTTGACTAGTTCAGATTGAGGCCCAGTACATCATTTTGTCTAATTTAAGAGTGTTCATAAAGGCTGGGAACTTAAGTGAAAAATACATAATGCCCTCAAGGATAGTTTCAATCTGTAATATATACAGATGTTGTTCATTTATTTATTAATATTATCTGTGTGCATAAGTTTGAAAAAAGTCCCTAACTATGGTTTAGAGAGTAAACAGTGAGCCCCAAAGTCTGCTGCATAATTAATTACTCTGCCATTTTCTCAGGTTTGAAATGCTTGTTGTGGACCCCCTTGTGTGTGAAAATGTCACTGATGCATTGAGTATAATAGCAAAAATAAAATTTAAAAACCTACTAAATATCCCTCAGATGGAGAATAAATAAATTAGCCACAGTCATAGTCATACAGGAAAATACTATCCTGAAGTTATAAATGAATGAGTGATAGAATACTAAGCCTCTGCAAATAAATTAAAGAGATGTGTATCAATCTGGATTCTCTTCAAAGGCAGGTTGAGCAAGAAAACAAAATTAAGGGTTGCCAAAGGATACATAGGAAGATAGCCTTTATATAAAGTTTCAATCAGGCAGAATAACACAATATAATATTTATGAATGTGTGCATATATCCTCAAAACGTATTTTAAACAAAAGTTAATGTCTGACACCAAATTCAGGTTGTGATCACCTGTTGGATGAAGAAGGGAAACAAGCTCTAGGAAGAATGCCCAAGAGGTTTCACTTGTGTTTGAAAATTTCTCTTTCTTAAGCTGGGTGGGTTGGTTTTTTTTTTTTATTTTTTGTATTTTGTCTACTTTTTTTGCATACATGGTATATTTCATAAATTAAAAACAAATGTCTTCCTCATTTTGTTGACTGTGTACAGTTATTGGCTCACAAATCAGTAAACATCTCTTAAATGAGAAATATGATTCAGTTCTCATTATATGACTGCATCTGAATGGTTCACATCTGGTTCCATTATTTGGGTTTATAATGACAACTAATAATCATTTT